GGGGGGGATCTGTTGACAGGGAAGCATGCGACATTTTATTTGCTCAGGAGCTGAGAAAACGAGCGCCTGCTGAAAGCAAGCCGTTAGACGCGCCGACATGTAAACGCGAGCGCCGCGAGCGCACGCCCAACAATGGCCCGGCGCGCACTTTCGGAAGCGCAGAACCGGGGTCGTCGGCCCTGATGACTGCGGGCAACGGCCGGCACCGCTCACTTCTTAACAAACAACGGATTGGTTTTAGGTCAAGGTCACAAGCGAATGGTCGCCGGCCAACGCCAAGCCACGGATGGACAATCGATCGACCGGTCGCCGTCCGCTCTCGGGACCCGGAGGCCGAGAGCGGATCGGTCGACCACCTCAGAGCCCGCGTCAGAGCGGTCGTCGGTCCGTGGCAGGGCGGGTACAGACAAAGAACGGAGCGGTCGCCGGGCAACATCATGGCACAGATCCAAAAAGAGCAGAGCGCTCAACAGCCGGCCGGGCGCAGCGCGGGGCGTTGGAAGGGATTTCCCACTCCATCCGCCGCCCCGACACGACGACATCCGAGCGATCGGAGCCACCCCGGTCGCGAGCTTGCGGACGCAACAAAGGAAACCTGGAAATCGGAGCGAATCCGCAACCATTGCAAAGGCGGCCGACGCCCAGGCCCCCGCGGCCGCCCCCCGCGCTTCACTTTTCAGCCGGAGCGGGCGGATTGGGCACCCCCGCACGGAAAGGGCCCGATCCGACGCGCACTTGCCCAATAGCGTTCCCGGGTGTGGAGACTGACACAGGAAGTGTTCACCCACAAATGAAGATCAGGGCCACTTGTGGGGAGAAAGCCACCAGATTCATTTATTGTTCAATAAAAATCGACTGGCGTCCTTCATGACTCCACTACGAGCTGCTTGTAAACACGGGGCGAGCCAACACCTTTCGGAGGGCTCATCTTGGTTCTTCTTCAGAAGATACATTCAACACTCGCCGGGTCGTGTCGATTTACGTCGCGGAGGTGTCCGCTTGACTATTTTAACGTCTTTTTTTTTTTTTCTTTTTTGCAATCGGCCCTCATTAAAAAAAAAAGCAAGAACAGCACTCGAAACAACAAATGAAGCAAGGCGCCACAACGGGAGAAGAAGCCAACGTTCAAACCAAAGCCACATTTTGAAAGCATTTTTTTTTCTCCAACATACAGTAGAAGCACATGAGCACTTTTTGTTCTTTGAGTAAACGTTGTCAACATTTTCTCGACGCGAGCGTTGCCGCGGTCACCTCCCGCTACATTTATTTCGCGCCGAGCATGGAAATGTGCGGTCAACACTTTTTGGAACGGAATGTGAAGAATGTCGGGAGCTTTGTTGCGGTTTCTTTCCGCCCGTCTTGAAGTGACGGTGGGCCCTCTGAAAAGAAAAGCACCTTTCAAGTCCTTTGGTAGGGGAAGGAGGCGCAGCGCTCGCCGGGGCGCCGTGGCTCCGATCAAAAGAGCAAAGCGCCGAACCGGTCAACGCTTTAGCGCGGCCGGACACGAATGAGAAAGAGCACCGTTCTTGGAAGATGCTTTGTTCCTTGCAGAAAACGCACAAAGAAGTATTGCTTGTTGTTTTGGAAATGCTAATCTGCTGCTTTGGACTTGTTTGTTTGGGGGTTTTTTTTTTCTTTTCATTGTACAAGAACCCACGTTTGAGCTACAGCAGCGGGTAGAGGACGGGGGTTCCCGGAGAGCCCTTTCCTGTCCGTTCACGCTCGCTCTCTCTCTCGACTTCAACACGCCCGATTCAAACGATCGGGTCGCCGGCAGGCGCCAGCGAAGCCTGAAAACAATCACGCCGATCGATAGAAGCCGGCGTGTCGGAGGAGGAGGGGGAGATCTAAGACGCGTACGCGGCCCCCGAGGAACCCGGGCTCCCCAACCCTGAGCTACAGTGTGTCCACGATACATCGGATGAGGACGCGAGGCTACGAGACCGAGTCTTCCGGGGATGCCGCCAGAGTTGACGATCGGCGATGTTCCTTTCGTTTTGTCTCCAGAAGCAAAAAAAAAAAAAAAAAAAAAAAAAAAGTCTTGGAATCGCAAGAGTGTCTTTCAACGGAAAAGGTCACACGGTGGTGGCTCGGCCGTGTTTGAGCGCCAGGGGCGAGTAGGCCTTCATGCGCACGCACAACTTACCCCTCAGCCAGGGGTTTTGCAGCTCCAGGGGGCAGAAGTCGTCCCGCAGCCACTTTTCCCGCCGGTCCGCCACCAGCACCAGGCCAAAGTGCTTCATCTGTTCGGGGCCGTAGAAGGCGTCTTGGTCGGGATCGCCGCCGCCGAGCGTTCGCCGGGACGCCAGGTTCATCTCTCGCACCACCAGCTGGACCATCTCCCCGGCTGACGTGCGAGGGCTCACGCAAAGCTGGGACAGAGAGCGCAGCATGTCATTTCCATTCTCACATACGCTACGGACCCCCACCCACGGATATGGATGCATACGTATCTCCTATGGGGGATGCCGGAGCGCGCTCCGTGCGGACATCGGCGCTCACGCGGGCATCGGGAAACGCACGAGCTCATTCGCGGGAGCCTCTCAAGGGCCTTTTGCTTCATGTGTTAGCGTCAAGCGAGTGGCCTTCCGCTTTCGAGGGTATCGTCCGTTTTCCGTGCGAGCTTCAAACGTGCACAAAGAAGCGGCCTGAAATCGAGCCGGTGGGGTGAAACAATTTTCCCAAATTTCGGGTGGCTCCGAAGCTCGGATTTTTTTCGTTCGAGTGCGGCAAGACTTGAATTCTCGCGTGAACGAAAGCCTCAAAATTCCGACCTTGAGGCGGTGAAGGTTTGCGAGCGGGAGGACGAAGGAGGCTCGAGCCGACATTTGCGGCTGAAAGACTCGAGCAAAAGGCCCGCCGCAAGTCCCCGCTTGAGCGAGGAACCCTGAAAACGTACCTGGACGCTGGTCTCCTTGGGAAGCCCCGTGCGGTACTGCGGGTACACTCGGAGCGTGGCGCGGGAGGCGTTCCCGGGGGCCGCCGGCCGCGGGGACGGGAGCCGCCGGGCGCGGCCGTCCTCCGATCGCGTCCGG